ATGAATTAATTTAAACGAGACAACTAGACCATTAATCTTATTTTCAAATAGTTCTCTAGTTAATACTGATCCACAATGTCAAGAACAAGAATCACTCTGAATTAATTTTTATAAATTACCCAAATATATATTTATATATATAATACGAATAACCAAAAAGTGATTGTAACCAAAGAAGATAATTTTAGCATAAACTAGCATAAACGCAAAAACACATAATAAACCTTAAAAAACATCATTTTAATGTACCTTTTTAACACCAATTCGTTGAAACTGAAAGCAACAAATAAGTTAAACACTGGGTAATTTATTGAATTTTTAGGTAGATTCATCAAGATTAAGTAGTCATCATGAGAATTGAATCATTAGAGGAACTCTAGGTGTTCATAGTAGAAAGATCTCATAACCGAAAAAAATAATTGTTCAGTTCACCCTAATTCTCAATGTAACTCTGACTGATGTCAAGACATAATGAATACACCTACTCTAAATTCAGTTCACCTTCATAAACTTCATTTAATAAATTTTATCCAACGATAAATTAGTTACTAAAATGATATTTAAGTTTTCAAGATGAAACTATTCCCTATTTTCACACACTTTTATACATAATATCCAATCGAATATTCATTCAAGTAGAAACAAAAACACTTTTACCTATGGATTTCCTTCTGTTAATATGATATAACAGTATACTCGAATCATCTGTGAAAAAACAAATCTCATATATAAACTATCTATGAATCCGATTTTATCGTCTATCAACAACTAGATGAGCCTATATCACAATCAGGTGATATTTCTTAGAAAATTTGAGTTCATTGCTTACTACTTAAAATTCTTAAAGTATGTATTATAATGATCTATGGATTCAAATAGATAGAATCATGTGAATAACAATTATGCTAATAAATGTCAACATTTTACAATTAATTACTCCATTCAACTTCGAATAGATGAATTATAGCAAACAATAGAATCGATGATACTCAGTTCATCCTATTTGGGATTTCCTAGTTAAATATCTCTTCATCTTAAATGTATTGATGTTCATATTTCGAGCCAGACTAGGTATCTTTTGAATTAAACGCTCAATAGTTTGTCCACTGAAATAGTGAATCTAGACAATTATTAATCTTTCCAGCTAGTCTTGTATTACTTTTAAAATTATTTACATCATAAACTAATGTTGCAGATATCGAGTATGTATTAAAAGATATGAGGGACTGAACAATAGTTGCTACATTTTTAACAGGTTCTCAATTGTAGCCTTCAAGACTCAATATCTTTAAACTATGAATTTAAAATCTAATTATTTTATTGATCTTGTTTTTGGTCTTGAATTATTGTCATCAATGTTGTCATTGTCTTGATTCAATATTCAACTAAAACTTCAGAAAATTTGTTTCAATTGATTTTGAACACTAAACAGTAAGTCATTTTAAAATTACAAAACTTATCAAGTTAATTTACAAAGAGAATTGAATGCTCTAATCATTGGTTTATTGATGAGAGGTTATTTCCGCGTCAATCTAAGCTAGATCATCATTGAAAACCTGAAAGCACTGGATGGCCATTTCCTCCCAATACGGAACTCTTCAACAGGGAGCATCCCTGATCCCACATCAAAGGGACTTTAGCCCAAGACCTGCGGTTTAACGATCGAACGCTTAACCTCCAGACCACTGGGGTGGTATCAAACGGTGTTAATACATAAATTAAATCGATCCATTATCTTACTCAACCATTCATCGATTGTATGAGGTAGATAATTGTCTCACACCTGACACCGATTGAACTTCAACTGGTCATAGCTTCTCACTAGAACTCCAATAAATCCATCTTGAAACTAGACACTACTGAGTAAATGATTATTATCAGTATGGAGATTTGTGGAAATTGTAGTAATTTCAAAGTTGAATTCACGAGTTCAATACTTCCAGATTTTCAATAGTAGTCTAGCTTAGATTAACTCGTGAATTCAACTTTGAAAATATTCTTTATTTCATATTCTTTATATTCATATATCTCCTCACTAATATTTAATAGGAATAATAAGAATATTCATCTTTCTTACATACCGAATCATTGAACTCATCCGTTTTCTTACGCAATCATATCCAACATATTATCATTACAATATTTGGACATGTAAAAGTAATTGGAATTAAAATCACAAATATGAATTTCAATGAAATAAACAAAGTGAACTGGTTCAAAACTATATCTTATTAGTTTACTGTTATAGTTTACATATTTTGTACAAACTAAACTCAAGTAGATCAGATATGACAAGAAAACATCATCTATACCAAGAACATAGTTGTAACTAACAAAAAGGGAAAAAAAGGAAAAAAAAATATTCTAAAAACTGGATTATATTGTCAAAATTCTTTTAGTGATAAACAAAAGGAAAAAGTTTTCATTCGCATAAAGATTTGATGACAAATAGGAATTTGTTTTATTTAGGTTAGTTCAGTTTGACCAGTATGCTCACTTTAAGAAATAAAAAACTTTAACTTAGAACATAAAACTAGTGATTCAGTACTTTTCAATTTGTTTGTTTGTTTGTTTTTGGTAGATTTTGAGCCTATAGTGAAAAATAACATCACGTTTTTTCTTCAAATAACTTATCAATGTTTTAGTAAAGTTGAGTTATGAGTACTCATCGAATTCAGAACGCAAGTTTTATCCCATTTAGGTCTCATTTGCTGGATATATCTGTATCTCAGTGTTGATATTAAGGATGGAAGTCAAACACAATATCGATATAATTATACACCAGCATACCTAGCCCTTCTATCGCATACACACCAACAAATGCAGATAAAGACAACCAGTGTAGCAACAATCTCTGCATCAGTAGGCCTCAACATACACAAACGAAAAACCAAGGTCCTCAAATACAACACGAAGAACACCAATCCAATCACACTTGATGGCGAAACTCTGGAAGATGTAGAGTCACTCACATACCTGGCAAGCATCATCGATGAACAAGGAGGATCAGATGCAGACTTAAGGGCAAGGATTGGTAAAGCAAGGACCGCATTCCTACAACTAAAGAACATATAGAACTCAAAACACCTGTCAACCAATATCAAAGTCACAATCTTCAATACCAACGTCAAGATAGTCAGTTCTACTGTACAGATCTGAAACGTGGAGAACTACTGCAACCATCATCAAGAGGGTGCAAGTACTTATAAGTAGTTATTCAGGCAAGATACTTAACATCCATTGGTCGGATACCATCAGCAACAGCCTTCTGTGGGAGAGAACGAACGAGTTTCCAACTGAAGAGAAAATTGGGAAAAGACGATGGAAATGGATAGGACATACTTTACGCAAATCATCAGACTGCACCAGGTGGCAAGCCCTAACTTGGAATTTTGAAGCGAAGCGGAACAGAGGAGTGCCGAAGAACACATTACGTCGGGAAATAGGAGCAGATATGTTAAGGATGAATAACAATTGGAAAGTGCTGGAAAGGACTGCCCAGGACAGGGTCGTATAGAGAACTCTATGCTCCTTCACGAGGAGTAACAGGCGTAAGTAAGTAAGTAAGTATACTATCCACGTAGCTATTCGTTTCAACTAGCCAATAGCTTATCCCCTTATATTCTTGCGTCTGTTACACGAACTGAGTTGAAAATTTTCTTCAGCTTTGTTTAATTATATCATAGTTCAAATCAATTCACCAGAAAATCCCATAACCAAAAAAACAAGATAATTTTTTTCACGTCTCAAATATAAAACACGATAATATTTGTTTTTCAGTCATGCCCATTAATCTGAAAACTTGTCAGCTTACCAAAAGAAAACTATATGATTAAACCTATTTAATGCATAATAATAATGCAAAATCTCAGTCCAACTGAACGCTAATCCAAAGTCTGGATATCTACCTAGCTAATAGCTTATCTCGTTCAACCACCAAATAAATAATTTTAACGGCTTTAAACACGATGTATTATCTGAATAAAACTGAAAACTGACTTTAAATTCAAAATACCACCTTGTTACAGATTAGTTGACAAATTTGTCCTCACTATATATAACATTGAATATACCAAGTATAATCTATCACTTTAACGTTAAATAAATAGGTAAAAAATGGTATGCCAAGACTGTTAGACCTCTAAGCAATATTCACATTATCATGGTACATTATGGTTAGAACACTGTGAAATTATTTTGTAAGCAATGATGGATAGTGGCCAGCAGTGGATTCCAGGACGCGCGTTTCGTCCTATTTGGGACTCGTCAGCTGGATGTACCTGTATCTCAGAGTTGATGTTCGCTCTAGGACTCGAACCCAGTACCATTTGCTGCAAACGCCATCGCGTTATCCACTCAGCTACTGAGTCCTGATAGCTACTTGCTTGTGCAATGGGGTGAGAGAATGAGAACTCATGAGAATTCTAAAACAACGAAAAAGAAAGCCGTTTGTTACGTGCTTAGTTTTCAATCATTCTAAGTCTAAGATGATAACTAATTTGAAAATACAATTACTTCAGGGGATTTGGGGAGATTGTTGAATTTCATAGCTGACATCACAGAAGGATCTTAGGTAATTAATGAAAACCGAAATATATTGCGTAGGTTATTCTTTCGAGCGTGAGACTTGAGCTGCTCACATCTATGGATCCAAAAGGAATAAAATAAAAGAGCTTAAACTTTAGACCAACGAACCAACGTCAAATCGTTTATATGTTTGATTTTAACCCATTCGGTATATTGCGCAACCCTCTGAGTGTGCAACTGCCCCACACCAAACATTGCTAAAACCTGGGGAGAGATCCCCTTTAGAACTCTAAGAATCAGCTCTCGAAACTAATCGCCGTTCAGTAATTGAATATCATGGCTATTAGGAGTTTATACCTCTTAATAAATTTCACAGTTTACACCATCGACTGATTTTACGTAGAAGAAGATTAAAAACCATGAAGCACTGAAAAATCATTAAATCTACAACTACTAATTAAAGGATAACTTACCTGTTTGAATTCTATACGAACAATCTGTTTGTCGTTCCACATTGTAATGATGTACACGACCCAAATGACATATAGATACAGCGTAATTTCTATTTACTGATTCACGTAATAAAAATAGACCTTCGTTAGCTCCATGTGTAAATAATAATTCTTCAGCTTGTTCACGTGTAATTTTCCCATAGAAATAATTTGTTGATTCAGGTGGAATAGCTCCAGGTAATAATGTCAGTAGATGTGCTGGTGTCACTACCACATTATTAGTTACATTCATATTATTATTACTGTTATTATTAATAATAATATTGTTATGTATGGAATCAACCGTTTTGTTTGTTTATTTTTTAATGTACAAACTGGTGAAACATTTACATGAAAATTTGTCTGCATAAATGTGAACTAAAAGTGAGTTGAAGCAACAAAAAGAACCAAGATAATAGGTCAATATGAAATAAATTCAAATAAACTATCGTTTTATTATCTCCCTAGCATATATATATATTGAGATCATAGACAGATCAATGTTAGACCACTATTGAAAAACTGGGAACAGTAGACGGCCATTTCGTCCTAACATGGGACTTCTCAGCAGTGTCCATTTACGACATAGCGCGCGGTAATCAAACCTAGGATCTCCTGTTTTTAATGTTTGTCCAACTTAGATCGACTCATAATGAAATTCAACAATTTCCACAAATCTATATTGATATATGTATTTATTCGACCAATAAACGAAAAGTTGTATAAACAGAGTATAAATACTTTGTTTTACTAAAAAGAAGTCGGCTACAACTTTTGAAAAACAAAAAAAAGTGATTAAATATTTCACTTAGTGTTAATTAACCTTGTTAAACTAAATAAGGAGAATATCATTAAAACAGAATAATATGACCACGTTTATTGTCTTAATGACCTTGGTAACACTTGTTATTGGTGGAAAGATTAACATTATGATTTAGTATCTGGAGACCAAAACATTTCTATCGGACTACTTACTTTTCATAATAAGTTATTTAAAAATTTCAATACGTGTGTAATGGATAAAAAAAACCATGGTCGGTATAATTATATGTTTGAAATAAGTGAACAACAATCAAGAAGATTAAGCGTTCGCGCGTGAAACCGATAGGTCCCGGGTTCGAATCCTGCGGGTGGGATTATGGATACACACTGCTGAGCAGTCCCATACTAGGACCAAACGGCCATCAAGTGCTTCCAGGTCTTCCATGGTGATCTTGATTAACTTAACCCATGAATTCAATTATTAATCAAGAACACCTCAAATAATTAATTATTTTTAAATAGTATACAGATATTTCCATATTCAAACAATATAATCCATTTAAGGTTATAACGAATATAATCAGTTTATAGAATAATGAAAATATTAACTATTATCTAGCCGGTGGCGATCAAAATAGACCAGTTATACTATAAACTTAACTGTCATTCTACATTCACACTGGTATAAATGTTGTATATGGATTATGATTACCAGTAGAATCTTAATAACTAATACAACGATATGACAGATACATCAAGCTGAAATGCCCCCCTCCCATCAAAAAAGAATAAAAAGATACATCCATGTTTTGTATTACACTGCTAAACATGATCCATCTATCCTAAAATTTCAAAATATTCGAGAGTATATTTTTGTGGTTACGAAAATTTACGAATTGTTCGTAATATGGTTTCAATTGTCCAAACAGATGTATAATTTGAGGAACACTATAAAGCATATGGTTAAATGTACTACAGAGATTAAAACAGTACTTAATTTTAATTCTTCTCAACTCATTTACCAGACATTATTATTATACTTGTGTTTGACTCATACTTTGACTGTGAGCACAAATCATACTACTTAATACTCCAGTGCAAGTTAGGCGGAGTGGGATTCAAACCTGGAACTTAAAAGCTGCAAAGTGAGTGTCTAACCCATGAAGCAACGACTCCAAATTAAACGCTCGTAAATAATCATGACATATCTTTGAGACAACTTGTTAAAGCTTATTTCACTTAACTCTTAATTATAGGTTCAGTTTTACATTTTTATTATCTCCGAACACGTGAAAATGTCATAAAAATGTTTAGTTCATTTTATAACTGGCACCATTTACGTAGTAAAATCAATATTGAAATTAACATCAACTTTATCAACTGAATTCCTCACGAGTCGATTTAAGCTAGACCACCAGTAAAAACCTGAAAGCATTTAACGGCCGTTTCGTCCTACTTTGGTCCTTTAGTCTTTATTCTTTCTTTATTTTAAAAACGGAATTACGAAAACGGTATAAAAAAACGGATCGCAAATCATATGTTAGAAATAAACTTCAACTATTCTAGAAGAAGAAGAGGAAACAGCTCAATAAGACGTTGAATAATTGAACACCTTGTGAACACAAATTCTGCGTTCAAAGTCATCTACAACGTAAGTAGAAGTCTTCCAAAAGCAATTAAATTGCATCTTCTTAGCATTGCCGAAGCTATATCTATACATCTGGGAAGACCAGGACTGTGTGTACAAAAGAAATTGGTACGACCTCTTCTTCTACCATGGTCTTAATGTCTTATAATTTTTTTCTCTCCTTTTTTTCTTCTTCATACTCTTCTTCCTTTATAGCCATCTGCTTTCCCTTCCATCTTTCTCTTAATCCTTCTATCCCCAGCTGGTTTATTTCTGTTTCTATGATCCTCCTGATTACATTTAATCTCAATTTCAACATTTTATCTTTTCATGCTGAGCTATCCTTTCCCAATGATAATCTCCCTATCTACCTTTTGATGAATATTTAAGCCATAAACAATCAATCGATTATTAGTTTCCCTATTTAAAAAACTTTTTTAATACCTTTATTTATTCTACTTCACTGTCACCATGTCTAATAGAAGTTCATTATCATTATTATTGCAATTATTAACATTCTGAAAAATAGGTATATATATTTGCGATTGTACAGCTTTGAAAATGAATTTGCCGTAAAGAGAACTCTTCGCTGAATCAATCTTTCTTATTAAATGTCTTGATAGGTGTATTCCGTTTACATAATAAAATAAACACAAATTGTAGACTAAATATCAGAAAATATATATTTATCTTAAAGTCAATATCTATCAGTGATCAAAGTAAAAACATAAGTTCTGATTATCATTATTAAAAGCAAGATTTATTAATTAAACTGAAGGGATCATAGAAGAAATTTTGATCAGTCAATCAACAGTTAAGTGAAATAGTTACATTACTGTTAATTTATAAACTGTGTTGAATAAGAGACAGTTATCTACTGTAGGAAATATTGTGAATCGATTGAAGCTAGACATGTACACCATTTCATTATGGCTCAGTAGTCTATGGATTAAGGTTTTACGTTTGATTCCTGGATTCAGAGTTATGAATGTATACCGCTAAGGATTTCCATACTAAAGTGAAACGGCTGTTTATTACTTCCAGTTTTTCAGTAGCTGTTTAACTGAGATTAGTTAGTGATTTGAACTGTGAAGGTTCTACAGTCCCCACAAATCCTATTATACTATGTCTAAATACATTATTAAATAGTCGGTGGAGTAGAGATCTGCTCAAATAATAATGCTCTTTTATCTAGTATGTTGTCGGAGACATTACAATCTCATTGTACACTTAATAATATCAGGCTAAATATTTCAAACACATTACTAAGTAATTTAGATTATGTGGGTAAAAATGATACACATTGAAGCAAGTAATTGAATAATAGACCGATTAGTAATTACACTTGAATTAAATAAGTAGATATATTGATGAAAACTATTATATGTTCCCATGTTTCTCGTTCTATCAGCAACAGCCTACTTATGGGAGAGAACAAACCAGTTTCTAGATGAAGAGGAAATTAGGAAAACAAGTTTAAAGTGGATAGGACACACATTGTGGAAATCATCAAACTGCATCATGAAGCAAGCACTAACTTGGAATCCTAATGGGAAACGAAAAAGAGGAAGACCAAAGAACACACTGCTTCGAGAGTTGAAAGCAAACATAAATAGGATGAATAGCAAGCGGAAAGAACCCCAATCACATTTAACTAACTGTACAGTCACTAGTATGATCCATACCAAAATCCCATCCGTGCATATCGTTTTTTTATCAGTAACTTTTGTGAAATGAATCAATGGAAGTGACCTATATAAGTAGTCACTTTGTACTGCCTAAAATTAAACTGATTGGTAATTTGTTTTACTTGTCTTAAAGTTTATGAACTTTTCTACCTCAAACACAAGATATATTATGTTTCTTGTTAATCATTCCTCTTTATGGGTGAATAAGTAATTACCTTAATCAAACAATTCAAGAAAGTATATGCTCCAACCACATATCAATCTGACATTATTCGTCATAAATATTACGTTGCATTTAATTTATTATCAGAATGAGGGTTTATGGAGATTGTATTAATTTAATGGTTGAATTAATGAGTCGATTTAAGCTAGACCACCATAGGAAACTTGGAAGTACTGGATGGCCGTTTCGTCCCAGTATGAGGTTCCTCAGCAATGAGAATCCATAACGCCGCATGCAGGACTCGAACCCAGAATTTTCGGTCTCATGCATTTCATTTAGATGTCTATTTTCTAATCCAGAGCCATTACTCCTTTCCTCAAATGGTACTATGTCCCTTTATCCCATTTTTATGAGTCATCGAAATTCGGTATTTTTCACACTTTTTTATGTTAATATCTGTGACCGATTATCCCAACATCTGATACATAACCTTAGCAATAATCAGCATATTTTGAAAAAATCACTTAAAACTCTATCACTTTAATCAGCCTTTCTAAAAAAAGACGAAATTTCACTTGCATCACACACTGACATTGGTCAGACGTGGAGTGAAATCCATGACAATTCAGACAACTGGATGTCTAATTGAGATATGTTAGTGATTCATAGTAGACCAGTATTCAACATTCCTCACAACCTAACCCCGCCTATATTAAAATAAATTTCATTATATTTCAGTTCTGAGGCATCTATGCCTTTCACTACTACATGATCTCGATAATATTTCAAACCTATTCATCAAATCTGAATGATTTTAGTTAACTAGAATTTCTCATCCTAATAATGGTAGGAATCTTTAATTTAAGAAAAAATGGTGAAAGACACACACAGTCAGTGAGCCATAAGTAGCGGTTCAGTTTGTCGCATGATAGCAACATTACTTACTTACGCCTGTTACTCCTCGTGAAGGAGTATAAGACGCTCAACAGAATTCTCCATTCAACCCTGTCCTG